TCTCAGTCTCAGAAAGGCTTTTCTTAGGATGACAGGAGATATGAGAAGCTACTCAAAATCTTGATCCAAAATCAATACATATTTATCACTGAAACAGCTGGATGAGGCCCAAGACCCCAGATATTACCCCACATCTTAAAGGCTCCTGTTAAGGCCTCAGATATTATACATTTATGTACTACCTATCTGATGAAAGTCTTGTCTCAAACTACTTTCCCGTGACACATTAGTATCTCCCCCGTGTTTTACAAGCCTGCTTCTTCCAGCTCATCAGCCCAATGGCTCTTTTTTCATTTATGGGTAGGGAGTCTTATTAACAAACCCATTTCACTTGCTCAGACATGACAACCCTCACTCACAATTCAAGTTCACTGCTGTAATGTTTCAAGATTTTGCACAGAGACTCACAGACTCAGCAGACAGATATTAGGTCATCCTTCATAGTTAAAAAAGTCAAGTAGAATATCTACATAGAATTAAAGGTGCTTAAAGAAGCTATGAGACTTATACACAGCTCTCAATTAGATGATGCACTTAGTTGTGGGAAAATGTGTCCAGATATAACATAGAAAGGTGAGGCACCTTATAAATTGTTTAAATTAATGAAAATCTAATACCTGTTTTAAGGATATCAAAACAAAGTAAGGAAAATCAAATCTGTTCTGAAATATGGGGCTTAATCACTTTGTCTGGCCTGACAGTACCAATAGCTGGGCATGAGAAGTAACACAGATATTTTAGGTTGCCAGACTCATCACAGACCATTTGCACTTCTTGAAAAGTGTAATAAGGCTATTTTTTCCTGGTTTGCACTGAATCATAGAGTTGTCCTGCCAGCTTGAGCCTGTTGCATTATGCTGCTACTGTAACCACAACTTTTTCCAGTAAATCCCACCTCTGATATACTCCTCAGCACTTGTAATTAAGTTGTAGACACAGATGAATAGTTTAATTCAAGAAATGTAGTTCTACAAAGGCACAGAAAGCCTGCTATGCACTTGTTGCATGCCTTTCCCAAATACACCAGATGGATTCTTTTCCTGAACACTTCTCTCCCATGCATCCCCATCCTCAGTTTGATGCCACAGTTCTTCTTTCAGAGTGGGATGTCTATACAAAAATAACTCCCTGAGAACACAGAGTGAAAAGCACCACCCCAAAGCAAAGCAGTTCCTCTTAGACACTGAGCTGTGGCAGCACCTGCTAGCAGAGATACCCCTGTGAGATCCTGGTAGTTTCTCCTGACAACATTGCTTGCATCAGCATTTCACTCCACCTCCTGTGAGGCCCAGCAGAGGACCCAGGAGAATGCAGGACAAGCATGGACCTCTTTGGGCACCACTGCTTTCCCTTGCCCTGAGGAACATGCTCTTTTACCTGTGCCCCTGCTGAGCAACCGACTTGGCCAGGCCTTGTGTCACATATCCTGCCTTTGTGAGGGAATTAACTCCCAGATCAAGACCCTCAATGTTTTCCCTGTTTGCAAAGTTCCCTGGGAAGTGGAAAAGTAGCTAAGATTAAAAGCACCACATTAATTATTCCTTCAGCCTGGCATACTTTGGATATGATTTAAAGTTCTTGGCTTCATTTTATTTATATAACCCATGGCTGGATTATTTGCTGGTATAGGTCTACCTAAAGTTATGTTGGCAAGGAACACAGCACATCAATCTTACCTTGTATATAAGTCAGGCACCCAAAATGAACACAAAACCTGCCAGTTAAATAGGACACTCCTCTTGTTTTGCATATTTTTGAGGTTACTCTCCCACATCATACACACATAGTTAATACAATTCCCTTCTGGTCTTTTTTTGTGTGCAGAGGAGAAGAGAATGGGACCTTATTCTAAATTAAATATTGAAGGACAGATGCTTTCCTAATTTATCTAGAGGATTTGTGTCAAAAATCCTAAAGTTCGAGCTTGGTACATTGCTGCCCAAATTAAAATGGAAAGGCTCTTCCCAGTACTCTGCTCTTTAAGAGGTCTCGAGCACCACATCCTATCTATCTTCCTGCACAGTGCCAGTGTAGGAAGTTCCACACAAATCAATCAGTTGTAAAAATATCATGCATTTCCATGCAGTTAACATAAACAAGGCAGTGCATATTCCCTGAGTTTGTCAAGTGTTCTAAACACATTTTTAGAGAGACATTCTGATGTATTTTAGCTCACCAGCACTTAGGGTGACTCTATCAAAAATTTAAAATACTCTAACTGTACCAAATTTGTTACTCCATGTAAATACAGACAGTAGTTAATTAAGTCACCTTTGACAATTGCATTACCCTTCCAATCATTCTTGAGCGTATTCAAAACTTTGAGTGGAGCAGGTTCACTACTGAAAATGAGACACACACAGATAAGCAAATTAATTACTTAAAATCAATATGTAGCAATTCTCAAGGGCTGTGCTATTAATTTTTCAGAAATACTAAGGTACTGAAAATCCATGACAGTATTTATGAACTTCAGAAGTTCATGAATTTTGTACCAAACTTGTGGTGTTTTCTTCCCGTAATTTCTCTGTTAAAAGGTTTTGGTTATTCAGTGAGAGAATAGAAGCAATGTGACTAGATCATGCCAGGGGTGAATTACAAATAGCAATTGTAGCATACAGTTTGTGAACCACGTCTCCTATAAAAGTTCTTTACTTAAACCATTTGGTGAATGCTTATGCATGATAAATACATGCAGAGATCTCAGGGATGATTCACTTCTGACATGTGAATAAAGAAACAAGACTAAATTAATCTTGTTCCAGATTCACTTAATGAAATTAAACCCCGCCAAAGTACTTCAGTTTGATTTATAAAGCTTTTAAAGTAAAATGTTTTGGGAGACAGTTACCTGAGATATTACCTTTTTCCTCCTTACTGTGCCACAGAAGAGGTAGATACTGTGTGGCTTCCTGGAACAGACTCACACTACAGCTCTTAATTTTACTAAAGGCATTTTCAGGGACAGGTCCAGTAAAGGAGCATGCATTTCCCCAGATGGTCTGGTAGAGTTTTAACCCTGTTTACTTAACCTAATTCTTATATCAGAATAGAGAGCAAGAATTGAAAATTGTTTCTTCTGGAGTCTTTTTTCCATTTTTTTATTCTATGGAAGTCTTTCAAAATTATATATGTGAATCTTGTCACTGGGAAAAACAACTCAATGCCCATGATCAATTAATATACCACTAAATGAATGAACAAATATTGCAGACTGACAAAAACTTACATTTGGGCATCCTTAATGATGCAACAGACTCATGTCTCAATTGCAATAAAAGTTGACAATAGATGAAACTACTGTGTAGGCTACTGAATCTGCACAAATAGTTCTTCTCACCAAAAATACACTAGTCTTTCATGCTATTCACAATCTGACCTGCAATCATGGGATTCTTACAGTAGTAAATATTATACTTGGCAAACATTTGTGGGATGATGACTTGAATATTGTATTTAAAGTTGGCAGCATTCCTTATAGCTGTATATTATTCTAAGACATTTGTGACCTATACCTTTGAACAGCGTACTGAGGTAAAACAAAATAGAAAGAGAAAGGTCAATGGAAAATATCACTTTTCTAATGCTTTCTGAAAAAGAAGATGAAGTATCAAAATGGCTGAGGTGCCAGATGAAAATTAATTTAGAGAGTTTGCATTAGTTCACCCTGAAATAACACTCCAAGCCTTACAAAAGCACCCCCAGATGAAAGATGTCTTCATATGTCTATCTTAAGGTCAATACCTCTGGGAACAAATTATAAGAAATTTTGCCAAGAGCTTATCCCTCGACAAACCATCTGAAATAGCCTATAAATAAAATATATGTGAAGGGATTCACAGATACAGAGAAAAGATTGCTCTATGGGTGAAAGAAACAGTAATGGAAAAACAGCTGTTTCTTACAGCTAAAATTGAATCAAACCTGGAGCTTCCCCATATTCTGGTCACCTCTGATGAAAACAGCTCACATAACTGCAGGCTGTTTTTAAGATGAAGAACTGTGTTCAGGGTTATAGGTCACCTCAGGTCCCTGTCCACAGCTCCCTGCCCGCCTCATCCCACTGGGACCAGGGGGAGAGGTGTCTTGGATGCCTGCAGTCTGGCCAGGGGTGTGTGATGGGCCCTGGTTGGGCACCCCTGCCCTGCCACCATGGACTAGCCCCTGGTGCTTCAGCAACTGGAAACAGCTGGGCAGGTGGGTCAGGATCAACCACTGAGTGTGCCTGGCACTGTCACAGCCCTGCACATGGAAAGTCGGTCACCCAAATCCAGGCAAGACCATGCATTTTAAGCACCTTGGGGAAGTGTAGTAAATGTTTCATTAGTTCTCCATAGGATGGTAAAGTGTTATATTTGCGTCCCTAATTACAAAAGCTATTTATATATATTTTAAGACTGTACTGATGCAATTAAAATTTTTTAAATTATATTTTCTCTCTACTCAGCCAGTTTATGCAGGTATGGGAGGTAGCCCCTCAACACTTTCATTATTATACCTAGTAGTTTTCCAGCCCTTTGAATTTAGGACATTTACAAGCTTTCATATCATTAAACCATTAAGTATTACTTAGTCTGTGGCAATAACCTTTAAGGCGCCTTCATTTATATGCTAAAATACAGCAATCCATTTAGTCAAATTGTGACAATACCTTCTAAGTCTTCTTTAACACTTCATCCATTTAATAGCAATTAATTAATACAGAGATATTAGAAAAAATTGTGAAACCATTATAGAAATAGCAAATTCTCTTCTGTACAAATGAGAAAATGTCTAGTGAATTCAGTGGATGTGGCCCTTATTACACAGTAAATCTGATTTCTAAACAATATGTTTTCATGCACTAATGAAAGATCTCTGAAATCAATTTGAGAGTGAGGATGTCAATACTAATCTAGTTGGAAAAAAAACCTCACAAATCTCATGCCATGTGACTAAACCCAAATAACTCATATTTTCAGAGATTCATGTTCACTTTTAGCTGTCTTTTTTTTACTTACTGCTTTATATGTTCTCTTTTGTCCAGCGTGTTTTCTGATTTGTTCTCCATTGGGCCCAGTTTCCACATGCATGGAATAGATAATGTCAAAGAAATCTTCTACGACAGCCACCCGCCGTAAAGATAGCTTCTCATCTACACCTACTCCATCCTGAAAAGAAAAAAAAAAAAAGAACAGAAAAAGTAAGGGAGACAAGATGAATAAACAAATTATGATAATCATGAGACACATTGTCCTTTTTTAGAAGGGAGTTAAAGACCCATTAATATCTGAAGATCACCCACCATGCAAATAACAGACAGAGTATTGTAGGAAATCTATGTGATGAAAAGGATCACACAGACCCTTGCAAGCAGTCCATTTTCCCAAACCAGGGCATTTGACCTCTTGATAGGAAGTGATCTTCCACTCCAGTATTTAAAAAAACAAAACAAAAACTATCTGTGCTTCTTTCTCTAAATGCAGAAACACAATTCAAAGGCAGAAGCTGTCCCAAACACATGGCACAAAAGTGCACTATGTGGTTGTTAGTAAGGATGCAACAGCTCTGTTATTCCCTCACTCCCCAGTAAATCTGTGCCTAGCATTTCATAAACATTTTTAATAAAAGGTTTTAATTCAAAGAACTGATTGTAATTATGAATATTAAGTTGTTATAAAAAATTTGCCCTTGCAATCATTGCAAAGACATACTATATACTATATGAAGACATACTACAATATGAGGAAAAGAAAGGGATGTTTTAAATATTTTCTACTTTTGCACACAGATGTCCAGCTGGAAGCAGTGGAAAAGTTAGAACACCTAAGCACCTGATTTTCAAAAGTGATAGTGTCATGGTAGGTAAAGACTTCTGAAAAGAAACAGTCTGAAATTAACCAGTGCAGTTCAGCTCCCGCCTTTTTAACAGAACCATCCACATGAGGTTTTGTTTGTTTTACAGCTGCCCATGGACTCAGTTCTAAAGAAGGAGCAGTTTTTCCAGAATAAACATGTATCAAGCTGGCTGCAGTTTGTAATATACCACCATTATATGAAAAATAAAATAAGAATGGCCAATTCACTTGTACTCCAACACTGTATTTGAATTTAGATCTTTGGAGGCAGCAGTATAACCATTCACTGTGTATTTTAAGCAGTAACAGTGTTCCAAACTGAATGTATTTTATAACACCATTACTGCTCATTTAAGTCATGCCACAACAAAATTGATTTACATGGGCATTTCTATAACAAAACGCATGTAATTATGGCTGCAGTGACCAAATAAAGACAAAGATGAGAAATTAAAAGAAAATAATTCTGTATGACTCCCACTTGCTGTCCCCCAGATCATAACTTCTTGCTAACCCACTCCACTAAAGTTTGCTGTATGTGGACAAACATGATTCATTTTTCTCACTCCCCCTATTTTTATTCCAGCCCACCTCAATATTTCATATATTTCAAAGGAAGAACTCAAATAATCCCAACAGCTCCAAAGAAACCCTCAGGGTGACATAGTAGAGTTCTGACACGTTCCTAGTAGCAATGGAGAAAACGTCGATGCCTTTAGAGCATAACCTTCTAAATGTGCATCATTCCAAGTGACAGTGGGTTAGAAGGTGCTGACACTACCAGCCAGACAGGCTACACCCTGTCTTGCTCCACAATGCCCAACTTTCTTCAGAGAGGTCCCTGCCCAAAGCTACATGGTCTCTTCCACTGCCTCCTTTATCCACAGGAGACAGATGGACCTGGGCAGAACCCTGGCACATGTGTGATAAGAAGACTGCCACAGTTCTGATGGAAATGACTGTGTTGAAGATTGAGGGTGGAGGAACATGAGAAATTTGCAGGACAATCTCCACCACAGGTTAAAGCCTCAGATCCACTGGGAACAGCTGCTCTGAGAAAGCTGTGAAGCTCCCAGCCCATGATCAGTCACTGACCACCAAAAAACTTTGTGGCATTGTGACAAGTTTTGGTTTAAGCATCATGAAGAATTTGCTTGGTACTATCCACCACTATTGCCTACTCTTTAAAAAAAATGCTTTAGAGATAGGGCCAACATCAAATTCAGATCTTTGCAGCTTTAATCTTTAGTGGAATTCACATGTGAGCGCTGTAGGGGGGCCCATCTTCAATCATTATTTTCTCACCACCCAAACAGCACAGTGGGATCCCTGATGATTTCAAACACTCTTATTATGACGACAGTGTTATCTCACACTGCTCTCCAAATACTCAGAAGTTTATAGTGTTGATTAACTGACAAAGATTTAATCTGTTTATTACTAATTAGTTTTATTTTATGAAATTTCCTACGAGGGAGGTCTCTTTTTTAATTAAAAATAAATGCATTACAACAATATTAATTTAAAACTTGAGATACCACCTCAGCAGAGCTGACACATGCTAACATTATGAATACATTTAAAGAAGAAACTCGGAAATTAAACTCATTTTGCTGCTTTTGGTGGCCATAGTGTGCAGGGCTCTCTCTAATGATTCTCATACCTCCCTCCCCAGACATGGACACCCAAAGGTTGGCAGGTATGAGCTGGGGTGCTCTTGCAGGGGTATTTCTCCATGTAGCTGACTAAACCAATAATCATTGATAGTAGTTCTAAAAATACACAGAAGTAAAGCCTGCACAACTTGTCATGACTCCTAATTGAAGTGCTAGAAAATGAATATAAACTTTCAAAACCTTTTCAATCAAAAAGGGTAGGAAAGAAATGGTTTAAACAGAGTAGAAACTGATTTAGGGGGTGTAATTAAATATCTACATCTGTAACTTTATCTAGTGGAGCCTGGATATGACTGAGTTGGCTTCATCCTGCTTGGTGCTGTCTAAGACAATGAGGAAGACCTTGATTCAGAATACCTGCAGTGCTGTAGAAGGTGCCAAGGTGCTGTGAGTGAACTGTTCAGTTCATCCAGCAACACACAACACTGGGCAGAGCCATAAGCCTCAGCTGCAGAAGCAATACACCAGATGAGTAATTTGAGTAAGGTAGCTACTTACTGACAATTTTGATATTCCATACTGCCATCCCAATAGGTAAAAAACTGGGCAAATAATAAAACCTCAAATCTCCATTTAAACCATGAAGTCTCTGAAGTGGACACAGTTGTATCAGGCTTTCCTGCCATATGCCATTATACTACACTTTTATCATGAAATTGCTATTTTATAAAGGTATTAACAAAGCAGCTCTGCTTTATAAGCTGACTTTGGGTAAAAATTTTCACAGTGCCTAAGGGGACAGGTTTTTAGCTTCAACTAAGGCTAAAAAAAAACCTGAAAGAGAAACTGCATCATAATGTTATTCCCATGACTGAAAGGCTATGAAATGACCACAAGGGACAGGACAAGTAATAGGCTTAAATCACAGAACGGGAGATTTACATCAGACATTTGGAAAAACTTACTATTGATGTGGATAGTCAAGCTCAGTAACAGTTTGCCTGGGGAGGCTGTGGGATGTATATCATAGCCAGGTTAGGCAAAAATCTGTCAGGGATACTACAAGTAAATCCTGTCTTGGGTAGATTAGATATTAATTGAGTTTCTTCTTCATAATTCTAGGAAGCTTAAACACCACTTTCAAAGTGAGTTGGGCAGTAACAACTCTGGAATAGCAAGGAGGATATTTATAAATCATTAGGTATTTTTAGGATTTTCATTCGGCACAGAAAGAGTCCAAGCCTTACTTTTAAAAATGACTTAGGAATGGAAGCCTCACTGAATGCTTTACTTCAAGCATTAGACTTAGACTCTCAAATCTTTCAGGCCATTTCATCCCTCTCCTTTCAGCCATTACTGAGGTGTGCCGTGCCCTGTCCTAAACCAGTTTTCTCAGATGCCTGTCTGACCAGCAGTGACAAACTACATTCATCCTTATAGCTGCTGGAATGGTTTCAATCTCTATCAGTGGGATTTAATTTCACTCTTTTCAGTACAGTTTTTCCTGTTTACTCTTGGTTTTATATATGTCCAGAGATTTTCCTATGTTCTTAGGATACAAAGAAATGTTTCAGTTCATTTTCAGCACTACAAAATCCATTTGTACTCTGAGATTAAAGTTGTTTCCTTGGGGTTTTTTTAGATATCTAGACAAAGAATAAATTTCTGAAGAGAAGTGAATTTTATAGAGAGTTGTGTACCTCCCAGAAAGTGTTAAGTATCCCTATGAACCAGGATGGTTGGGGAGACAGGCAGTCTTTTATTGAGGTTAAATCTACAGGGCTTGTCAGAGTAAAGAAAAGAAAGTTTGCCAGTAAAGCAAATAGATAAAACTCTTAAGGCAGCAAAAATATCTATTAAATGAAAGGTTGTCATTTTTATAGTTACTTTGCAGAGGAGAAAATAATTTAATACAAGCCTTTAAAATTAATGCCACTGAAACAAAAGTGCTTGTAATTCCTTGTTGCCCCATCTCCTGTTGAAATTTCTAGGAGGAAATAGGTCTCATAAAGCACCCTCTTGCTTTGTGAATGAATATAACTATCAGCATCTTGACAGTGTTTGAAAAATATTCCTATAAAGATATGATAGACGGAAATAGAAAATAAGTCTTGGTTGGTAGTTTTATAGAAAATGTTCAGGTCTATAAAAACCTCTGCTGTAAAAGCATCAAAGCCAGAACACCTACAAAACATTAGGAGTAGGTGCAAATAACAATGCACCTAAATATTTCATCACATAGTATAAAGCACATATAAATCTAAGACTGCTTTGAATGCAGAAATATGATGTGTAACATTTTTGTCATATAATCAGTTCAGACAGCAGCAGAGTTAAAGCTCATTTACGTCCCCACACCTCTGCTGACTCGTACCACATTTTGAATTTCCTCTGGATGAGGAGCAAAGTCTTTTACTGACTGAAACACCATACCCTGAATGAACAAAAAGTTTTGCTCATAGTCCTATGCGTTGTTAGTTCATGCATAATGAGCTCCTGACATGATTGTATGTAGATGTTTTACTCCCTTGGGGTTCAAGATACAAACATTTTGTACGGAAAGTGTTAGGAGGAAGTTGATAGGTAGTTGATGTATAACATGAACCCTATATATCTGTCCACAGAAATAATTCAAAACAAATTAAAAAATTGAAAATCCCATGGTACATTATTTCCTTTATCTGCTTGTTCAGTAAC